GAATTTATGGTACAATAAAAGTGTCACATACAAATCATAGATGTGTTTGTTAGTCAAGTTAATGTCTAATTAGACATCAAAATATTTACTATATTATTCACATTTGGTGTATTAATCATATGCAGTGATTATGTTTGATTATTTGCTTCCTTATAGTATTTTTATAGTTATAAAAGCTTTTGGGGTTTTTCATAGCTAATTTTCCAACTCTCATAGTTAATTGTGATCTTTGATAGGCTCTCCGATTGACCTAGAATGCAGGTCATGAGAAACAATGTTGCGTGTGGCCTTTATGTTTTGTTTTTCAACTGTTGTTGTATTTTTGAGTTTTCCATGTTCTACGATGTAATCAATGTCAGTTTGATGTTTACTAGTACTGAACTGAAGTTTTCTGACTATTATTGTTCTGGATACACTATACATGTACAGTGACGATACTCATGTACTAATTTTCCACAGCCACAAAAAGTGAAAATAAAATTTGAGAGGCGTAGCATCACAAATACTGCCAAAGCACATGTTGCACAGGATGTACTAAGACATAAATTCCAGTATTTTGTTAACCTTATTATTATGGATCTTTTTAACAGACGTTGGAAAGAAAATTCATTGTTAGTGACCCCAATCGGCCGCCATCGCTCTTTTATGCTTTTGAATCAAAGAGAACAAACAATATTTTAGAATATATGATATACATGTATAATAAAAAAAATTAAATTTGTTATTGGACCCAATGTGACTGTCACATGGCATATTTGTCTGAATACATTTTTTATTATCTGTCGTTTTGTTATTCAAGTATACATTTGATATGATACAAGAGTTTTCGGGAATATACGATAGGCTTAATAGAACCATCAATGCTCAGAAACGTACAGTTGCTTTGTACAAATTTATATAAATAAATCAAAGCAGTTACCGGATGCCGATACTGAAAATTTTTGGAGACAGAAACACAATAAGTTACAGTAAGTAGTACAATGTATAACACTAAGAGGTTATCAACAGATATCAATCATTCGTAGCACTGTTAGATACGAGTAAAGTCACGGGCTAGTATTATGCACAAACCGAAAGTAAGTGAATAACAAGTTGTCCTTGATGCCAAAAGTATCAATCAGCTCTAGGAATGTGCGATATCAGATGAACCTTTTCTATTACATGCCCAACTCTGAGCGTCAAAACAACAGAGTAATCATTATTTTACAGAACTTTATGCTAATTAGTGTGACATCTAAGCATGTCAGAAGACGTGCATTTGTAGATACGGCCGTCGTTGGTTTACAAAATCGAAAAGTTACATACCGGTATCTTCTTAGAAATATTTTTCAAAATAAATTTTCAGTAGTCATTTTTATTGCATCGAGCAACTAAGTGTTGTCATTCAGTCTGAAAATATATCGCAGCAAAAAAAAACATTATCGTGATACTGTTGAAACACACGCAGACTGATGACGCTTAGTGTGAATGATATGCAATGTGGTTATGTGATAAGTATTATGTTCCATACCATAGGCAACAATTCTAGTGTTGGGTATTCACAAGATATTTGATGCAATCCCTTTGGGATTTATTTGAGATGAACATCATGCCCTTCCTTCTAACTGACAGCCGTTGCCACAGCAACAAAGCGAACTTTGAACATGAAACATTCATACTTCTAAGGTTACTAATAAACCGGACAGTGTCCGACAAGCATAATTCACAAACACTCTATAAATCTAATTTTTGGTCCACTGCTCACTTTACTACAACTCAAAGTACCTAAGGATCTATAAATGTTACATGTTTGATTTTACACCATTAGCCAATCAGATTTCATGAAGGTGCCATATACTATTATAAGAGATGTTGTCAATGGTCAAAACTGGAAAATTGGAAAGTAAAATCTCATTCATTGGTCAGTTTATTGCAGCACAGCAGGGAGTTATGCAGATGACCGAACTATTAACATCAACAAAAATGCTATTTTTAGTCAGCTAACTTTTAACAGCCAATAGGCTACTGCACAGTGACGTTATTTGTTTTGCCAACCAACATAAAAAAGCAATAGTATGCAATCTTTGGTGATAAGGTTGCGCATAAAGCTGTTTTATTATGCATACATGCATAATTAATACCAGCAGCAGTGAACATCAGCTAGTTCTTGCCAAGTAGTCACTGCACACACGTAAAAAAACAGTGATGTAGTAAAGCTGACCACAAGGACTGTCTTTATTCTGGGACTAGCGTGTTGTCGCAGATCTCAGAATACGCTCAGATTATACTAACAATTAAGAGGTGCACTGAATTATCTTAGATTAGTTGGTTAGATTAGGCTCTTTATAATTTGCTACCACAGTAAAAAAAAAAAAAAAATTATTTATTGTAAAAATAGACCTCAAACGTCTTGTAGTACACACACTATAGGCAGGCACCTTACAGGCCAACATTTGACAGATTAAATGGCAGGGAAATATATGCAAACAGAAATTATAAATTTCAACACAATATAAACAATAGTTTTCTGGTATTCATAGCAATATGGGGGACGATAGTGATAAATTTACATAACATTTACATATAGTACACAAAGCAATAAATACAAGATGTGTCATCCACATTGATACCTTTAGAATGAGTGTGGTAATTTATTTACATACTAAATACAATCTTGTATGATCTTTATAAAGCATTGCAGATCGATGTAAATTTGGTGTGAAAACAAAGCGTCGACCGTATATTTACATTCCCAAAATATTCGGTAATACATTATTAGTTTGTGTCGATGGTGAAGAATATATTGCCATTAAACGTACGAAAACAGCGTGAAAACACGAGTGTGTATTAATAATATTGCCGCTGAATTGCTACAATATTTACAAAGGCCAAAAAAGGGTAATATCGTGTATTTTACCTTCAGTGCGTATTCCTTTGATGTAGCGACATCTTGGGCTACAAATACAAAAGCAAAACCACCTAGAACAAGACGGCGACACAATTAATTGTATATTTTTGACGAGGTTATAACAGTTTCTTTTTGCTTGTTGTAATGTTGACGATTAACGAATAGGGTTAGGGGCAATGCATCCATGATCACTGAACTTACCTTCCGCTATCACTCGCCTCACCCGCAGCTTCATATCGCCTAATTCCACCAACTGACCCACAAATTCATTGCCCCTTTCTGCCGGACTACCACTCAGATACCCCAGGGCTGACCTGAACAGGTCACTCATAATTACGCGTATTCGTCTACAGACTAGGGGAGTGTTTGACCGGTTTTGTCACGAGGGTGAGATTTCACGTCGCAAGTGACGTCAAATACGGAAATGGCCTCGTTCTCAGTTTACTTAACGCCCTCGAATGTAAATATATTAAATACTCCCGTTTTTTAAATAAAAAAAAATTGGGGGCGCACCTCAAAAAGAAAACATAAGTGCCTGTTTTGGTTGTATCTATACATATGTAAAATAGAGCAGATACAGTAATGTATTTTTTATAGGAAAACCCTAAAAAGATTTTGAGTCACCAGAAAATTGTGGCTGTATGGCAGCCATTTTAACAATATTGATTTCTAAGGCGCAGATAAGGTGTCATACTTCAAATTGTAGGCTGACGACATAGATTAAAAAAAAACATGAATAACATCACTTGTGGGATATTTCTATTGTCTTGAATTACTCAAAAAGTGACAAAAAATACTATTTTTGTTTTAAATGGTCTCCCATGGAAATGTTCTAAAAAATAGCATTTTCCGAATTATATTGAGCAATTTTTTGCAAAAGCACTCATAACTGTAAAACAATAATGTACACTATAGCTTCATACTTGCATAAAATACTCTAATGAAAATTATGACCAAATTATTAGGATTTTCAGCTCAGAGTTAATGCAGCAATTTTACATCTGACTAAACTAAAAAAAAATGAACATTTAATACAATTGTCCTGAACGAAGGTTCATTAAAAATACTGTGGAATACTTTATTTTCGCTGGAATTAATTTTCGCTGAAAAGGCTTTTTGGGCGTTGTGTATGGAATTTATTTTCACTGATTTCTGATGAGTTTAATGTGAAATATAGAAAAAAAGTATATTCGCTGGATTTTATTTTCACGGAATCATCCCTTCAGCGAAAATAGCGAAAATAAATTCCAAGCGAAAATAAAGTATTCTACAGTAAATGTTCGAACATGACGCCCTCTTGGTCACAACAGCAAACTTACTTTGTTTAGTTTAGTTATTAGCAACTGTGCCCTCATTGACAGATTATCCAAAATCTCCTGTTTGTAACATTCACTAAATGTGCCACATCTACTTATCATCATGTTTATTTCTAACATGACGGAAAATCAAAAGCAGCATAAATGTTATTCCATCATCTCATCAAATCAGATATGCAGATAAATCTCCTAGTGTCATCACATTCCAAAATGTTATTCATATTTGTAGAATCTGTCCTTATTTCTTTGTGCCATCAGGATATAAATAATCTTTTCACATTCTCAAATCAAAATCATTTAAAATTTCAAACAGATGATAAGTAATTTTTCAGATATGTTTATTTCCTTCCACGCATCATGAGGCAAACAAAGAGGAAACAGAATACATAATGAATACAATTTATTATACAACATATATTTTATAGATCAAAAAAAATTAAAACTATCAAATATATCTGCAAGAAAAACACTATGAATGACTTATTTAAAAAAAAAAAAAACTTTTACAAATCTTAAATTTGATATACTGTGCATTTTTACCTACTGAAAACAAGCGTTGGAATTTTTTAGATTTTTTTTTTTTTAAATACAGTCTTTATAATTGGCAATTATCCAATGGTGGGCGGCACAAGTCTGGTTCATAATATTCACTTATGTTTGGGCCAGGATAATAGTGCGGATGCAGCACAGACTAAGTATGAATTTGTTTTTTAATAGATTTATGATCATAATTTATGAAGCTATGTTTTCTTGGAGAAGTTTTGGTATTTTTTAATCCTGCAGAAGAACCTTTGTTAAACAATGTTGATTGAAAATAAAGAATTCATCACTTTTTAGATTCAAATCGAGTTGATGAGAAAAAAAATATTCACAGAATTTTTCTGTAAAAAGTAAACAATGACTATGGCAGTGAAGAGCAAAGAACTATGTAAATTAGCCAGTTTGTTATATCTGACTGTTATTATCTAAAAAAAATTATAAATATACAATTATCTTTCAGTTATTTTTATGTACAATTAAAAGTGCTCCAGAAATTGTAACTAGATTATACTACATGAATATGTTCTTCTTGTGTAAAAATAACAAGCAACTATAAACTTCTTGGTTTATCAATTGAATATCAAGTTTGAAAGAAAAAGACACTTATGTATTTCAAAGAATAAGAAGTAGACATATGTATGTAAACCAATTTTGGAACACCAACTTTGTTCACTTGGAAATAAAAAATATTCAAAACTAACAAGTGTAACTTTATACAAACTATTGGCACATAAGCAATATTTAGGAGGTAGGTTTGTTTCAAATGGAGCATGATAATGTATATAATAATTTAAGGTGCAGATTTTTGATGGTGTACAGCACAGCTCAGCTCAGAGACACATGTAAACAACTTGAGTACATATTAAAATATTTTAAGAAATGTTTTACTAGAATACATACAAGCAAGCTTGTTCACAGTAATAAAACCTATTAACACATTGCCAGCCTGAAAGTCTTCACAGACAGTCAACATGAATAGTAAAAAAAAACAGCGTCAACAGGTAGTGTATATTGGTGGTCTTTCTCTTACTATATCCGACATAAACATGTATAGTATTTTTAAAGACTGTAATAATTATAACTGGGATTTAATCTCACTATTTTGGTATATCGGACATAATTACAGAGCTTATAGATTTCACAGATTAGCTGGGATATACATGTACTGTGAGGATTCAGCAAATTTTATTAGTCAGCAAAAATAGCGAAGTAAAAATCCAGTAAAAATGTTATGTTTAAAATATGCTGTTTGATAACAACCAATCAGGAGATGTGTTACAAACTAGTTTGTTTTCATAAGATCTTCTCTGATTGGTTATATTCAAAGTAAAGAACCCATCCAATCAATTAAGAAGAGGGAAGCCTAATTTGGGAGAAAAGTGAAATGTTTTTACAAACGGTTAGTAATTTTCAGTTATTTGCAAGAAACGGGATATCATAACTGTTTTGTTTGGTAAGTTATTCATAATATAAACCATACACAACAGCAATAGAAAACAAAGATGCATTAGCATATGATCCTGAAGCATAATTATCTTTATCCGTATCCCAAACACAACGGCTTCCCATCATAATATCCTGGTTCTTTTTCTCACCAATACTCACAGTACAAACAATCTAGGATAGAAAAAGGGATGAATACATCATTAATTACTTATTTGCATACAAATTGATCAGTGACATCTACAAGTTATTTAATCCTTTACCAAGTGAAAAGTTGAAAAAAATCATCCCTGAAGAGCATAGTACTCAGAAATTTGTTTAAAGCACATTCTGGAAAATGTTATTTCGTATTTTTCTATAAAAAATGTTTTTGACGTATTTATTATTATATTCCACATTTATAAGTAATTTTAAATTCCACACACAAATATGTGCAATATATTGCTTAAATATGAACAGCTTTTAAATACTATGATAGGAAAAGAAGTATCTTTTGTGTAAATATCACGTGGTCCAGGACTACCCCTTTTTTTTCGAAAGCTGTAGCTGTAGTATTTGCGATATTGCCTATTGTGAATTTCAAGTTGTGTATTGTATTGATTTTCTATGGGAAGAGGGGTCATCAATACACAGTTATATTACTTTAGGTATCCATGTTACCTGTGAAATTTTACAACCCAGTGACTATTGAATCTACTCATCTTACTTCCTACCGCAGATGTGGTAAGAATGCACATCCAGTAGAAGGAGAACCTAGAAAATGGGAAACTGCAACCCTCAATAACAATTTAATTGGTATCATGTCACAATGGCCAAATATCAATGACACCCACGCTAAAATGAACATGATAGCTAAAGCAAACAAGCAGCCTCTCGGCTGAGATAGCTCCACTGTTAGCAATGCACATTTCAATTAAAGAACAGAAAATATCATTAGAAAATGAACAAGCCGGTAGGCTGGTTGGCGATCCGCTCCGCTCAAAAACAAGCAACATGTTTTTTGGCTGTTTCCATGGTGACATAAACGTGAAGCTGACGTCGGTTTATAACTAATACGAAGTTCGCAAACACCATTCAGTCTTTAGAAGTCACTTAGTTTAGTACTAGGACCACAGTTACTCTCTCCTAGTAGAGTGACTGTGCTAGGACGTATTCTGCTGTTACATTTATTATTTCCAACCGTTTTGCGATAGCATTTTTTAGAATGAAGCGTTTCCCGTAAATGCTGGAAAGCGAAATAATGAAATAACGAAATGGTAAATATTTACCTAAATTGCAGTGTGTTGACCTTCATAACAATATACTTCATAATAATAATAATAACTTTATTACACTACTATGCCATCAGAGGGCGCAGTATGGTAAATAAAATACAAATCATAAGAAAAAATACAGTAGCTAGACTATAAGATAAAATTTAAAATAAAAGATGTTAAAAGCTTAATAGGAAAAACAAATTAAGGATAGTTACAGGATTCTCCCAATGTAGAGGTGATAGCTATCATATACCTGATTTCTGTTTTGCCTTATTTAGAAACTTTGCCAGGGGTATGAAGCACGTCATTATTTTAATGAAATTATCTGTTTTATTTAGTTTATTTTTAATTCCTATTTCCTGAAACAGCTCCCCTCTTTCTTTATTAAGAAATT